CTGCGTCCGCCGGCGCGGCGGCCACCCCCCAGCCCGGCGGCTGGCGGACCCCGGCGGGGGCCCTCCCTGTGCAGCCCCCCACCCCCGACACGGCCGTGGCTGCTGGGGGCTGGCAGGACATGTATGCTGCCGGTGTCGACTGCCCTTCCCCGGCTCCCACACCGGCGCCCGGCGATGGCGCGGTGTTGACCGGCGCTCCCACCGGTGACGCGGCGGAGCTACCCCTGGACTCCAGCGGCGCGCTCCCTTTCTACCTGCTGGACGCGCACGAGGAGCCTGCGCAGGCCGGCACCGTCTTCCTCTTTGGCAGGGTGAGTGGGAGTCTGTCAGCGTGATGGTGTGTGGGACCAGGAGATGGACTGGTCGGTGTGGACAGGAGGCCTCCTTGTACTCGACGGCTGCGTCCCTCAAACCCCCGACACGACATCACCCCACCCGCACTCGCCTGGACGGGCGGCGGCACGGGGGCTGCACACCCCGGGCTCGCAGCAGCGAGCACCTTGTCGGAGGCCAGGGTCTGCACCAGGGTCAGCAGCCTGGCGCCCGTGGTCCCCCCACCCTGCCCCGCCAGAGCCAGCTCGCCCGCCAGGAACAGCGCGGCGGCCGCCCTCGCGTGCGCCGGCCCGAGTTCCCCCGGCGCATTCGACCCCGGCGAACCCCGCGCGGACCCGAGGCCGTCGACGTAGGCGGCCAGCTCATCCCGCGTGGCGGCCGCCAGCCGCGGCGCCCAGGCCGCGTCCGGGCCCGACAGTCGCGCCAGGGCGGCCACGTGCGCCGCCGCGGCGTCGGGGGCCAGAGTGAAGGCGAGCAGGGCGCGGAGGAGGTCGGCCGCCAGGCGCGCGGCCTCGGCGGGGGGGAAACCGCCCGCCGCGTGCGCCACCGCCTCCAGCAACGACGGGGCCACGCCGGCAGGGGCAGACTCCTGGGTCGCGGTGGGTTTGGGGATGCGTCGTGGGGTGGAGGAGGAAGGAGAGCGGCGGTGTGGGGGCGGTGCCAGCACAGCCGCATGGGGTATGTGCAGGGGGTGCGCACGCATCGCCCCATTCCAACGAGTCCAAGCAGCCCTGACTCCCGGGAGCCCCACCCACCCCGGCGGCGGTCAGTGCCAGCCAGGCGTGGTGCAGGAAGTCCCAGGGCAGCTCTGCCACCCCATGCTCCGCGAGCTTGGAGATGAGCAGCCAGACGCCGCGCAGGGCGGCGGCGTCGCTCGCTGCGAGCGATGTGGATGAAGGGAAGGTGGCGGTGAGGAGGCAGAACCCGTCTGGGGCAGCCGATCGCCCTCTTGGGTGGCCGCGTGCGAAGGACGACAACGTGTGCTGCTGAGCGGCCTCCGCGCATCGCTGGGGCCATGCCTGCGGCCTCTGCAGACGCCCCCCCCCCCAAAATTGTCGAGTGTGCGTGTGAAGCCTCCCTTGTCCCCCCAGCACCTCTCAGACTCCCCCACACACCCTGCTCCGCGTCGGCCAGACGGCGCCAGGCCCCGCAGC